TGCAGAGCGGCTGGGTTTCCCTTGAGGTACCCAAGGCCTGTCTGTGCCTTTAAAATCCCCCCCCCCGGCTCCGCTGCAGCGCGCTGACTTTCCCCCTTTCGTCTTACAAGAACTTCTGCTGGAAAAAGGAGCGAACACGACCCGAGGTTAAAGCGATCGGCCCGTCTAGGACCGGTATGGGGTGTATGTGTGTATGATTCCAATTGAGGGAGGGAAAAGTTTAGCTGGGGCCTGAAGAGTGCTTTCCAACGCAGGTCCCTGCAATCTTTGCTCAGTAGGAGAGGTCGGTCCAGCAAGGGGTTACTTAGTCCTAAGCAAGCCTGTAGTAAAATATTGTTGCCTACAGCAAGCTTGAGTTGCGTTGATGGCACAAGGAGCCCATTACTGGATGCTTAATGATTGCATACCAACAGTGTGCGGGAGACGCTAGGGACAAAGGTAGATCAAAACAAAACAAAACGGGCTTCACATCTGAAATGCCCCTTGTTTCAGGAATGGGCAGAAAGTAGATCTGGATCTACTGATCATTTGCAGTAGTTCTTTTTAAAGTACTGCCCGCCCTGTTCCTAAATTTCTAGTCCCCAACAAAGGAAAGCTGAGGTTAACCAGAAGAGGATATTTGTGTGGAAAAAGTTCTGTACAGTACTGCTTCTCACAACAAACAGCTTGGAGAAGAATGTTACATTTTTTGCATCAGGCCCTGGCTGATGTATTCACGTTCCAGTGGTAAACAAAATAAACCCTGAAAGCCTTAACTATGCTCTGATTTTTATCTTACTCCCTGCCCCCACTCTGCCCAGTGTCTGCAAAGGCATATTTGCCATGCCTTCCATTGGAAATCCCCTAGGTCAACATGTCTTTGGACTTGGTAGGGTTCTTTCCATCTCTCCCAACCCCCACATATGGAAGAGTAGGTGTTTAAAGTAAGTAAAATCCCCAACACTCTCCAGTCTCGTCTCTTCAGCCCTGAAGGCTGATTTTGACCACTAGAACATAACTAAATCTTGCCTCCTTTGCTGTAGTCTTGGGATCTACATACTGTAATTTTAAAGTGCCATTTCTTCTGTGGAGAAGGTCCTGGCAAAGGGCTGAAAACCTGTATATGCACTGATTTGGGGAAAATGCCTTGTTGAACTTGGACAGTTTTTGAGTAAACAAACATAGAACCAATCTTCTCCAGATCCCACTCCACTTTCATGGATTATTTGTCCTGCTCCCTTCCTTCAGGACATAAACTCTGCGAATCATGCATGTGTGGATTGGTCCTCTAATCTGCCTTCCATAGTATACTCCAGTCTTTTCAAGAAGGGTTTCTGAACTGCCCTACAGGACCGAAGATACTTAGCTAGCAGGATTGTTAGAATGGAGCAGACCTGTGTTTTAGCTTCTTAAATGATGTTTTATAAGAGTCAGGAGCACGAGCTGTTTTACTGTTACTCCACAGGCCTGCCTAAAATCATTATCTGGCAGCCTCAAACAGAGATAGCATCCCAAGTCTTTTTTGGTCACCTTGGGCAGACATTTCACAGAGGAAGAAAATAAATACATGCAGTCCTTGCTCTGCCTCTGTGAAGTGGCCTTCGTGTGAGAGGGAGATCATGATGGGATATTCTTATCACCTGGCTCTGCGAAAATGAATTGTTCTTGACTGGGGTTGTCGTCTCATCGTAGATATGCATTGACGGGAGAGTCATTGTTTATTGAATCTCTGAGTATTGTCTGGTTGTTCAAAGCAAAAGGGCCAGCCTTCAAAGAGGTGTGAGTCCCATTGGGGCCACAGAGTGACTGGATTTGGGAGAAGTAATTTAGCTGACTTCAAACTGTCAAATCTGCCCACACCTCCATAGTGGTGTCATCTAAGAGACGTGCAAAAGGTCACCGTTAAAAATCTAAACAACTTCAGCCTCCTGGAGGATGCTGAAAGGGAAGCCCACCTTGAGTAAGCAGAAGCATGCACGCACGACCAGGTCAAAACAGTTTTGCTACGTGAGGTGGTGGACAAGATCTCACTGAGTGATCGTTCAGTGGTTTGAGGTCTCTGGCTGTGGAGCCTGGGGCTGGGAGTTCAGTTCCCCATTGGACCTTCTTGGCAATGGTTGGAATCGATGATCCAGAGGGTCCCTTCTAGCTCTGCAGTTCTAAGGTTATTATTACTGTATATCCCTACACACACAAAAAGAGAACCTACCTAGGCTGGAACCTACTTCAGTATTGGTGATGATGGAAATGTATCCTCTGGCTCTCCTTAGGGCAGCCAAGGAGCCCGACCAGGGGCAGCGGGTGGGAGGACAAAGTGAGTGGCCCAGAAGGCTTTGGCTTCACTTCTGTGCCTCACGGTGTTTGCTGCTTGAGCTGACTGCCTCACCCTCATGAACTCTCTCTCTCTCTCTCTCTCTCTCTCTCTCTCTCTCTCTGTCTTGTCTGTCTGTCAGAGAGACAGAGGAAGAGATGGAATAGAGTCCTGACCAAGGAAGAATTTGGGTGGTGGCAATAGGGATTCTAGCAGAATAAACATTTCTGTGAAAAGGGATTAGAGTTATTTCCCCCCCATCACTAAATGTGAATTAAAAGTTCAGCATTTGCCTCCCCATGGAAGAAATTGCCCCCCTTACAGCTTTTTCCTTTTCTGTCGTAGAAATGTCAGGGTAAGAAACTGCTAACATAGTGCCAAATCTTGCCGATTATGCTGTGCAACAGAATGCATTATGTCTTCGGGGAGGCTAGCTTTGTTGTTTGTATTGGCTTGCTTTGCTTGAGAAAAAGGCCCAAGGCCCTATTAGTGGCAGTTGGTATGGAGGCCTCTCCCCCCACACATCCCACCCCACCCCAACCCACATTCTGCTTTCTTTCTTGAGCTGGGGAGAGCTCTGGGGGGATTCACCCCCAGTCGGCTGAATCCGGTGCCTTAAGCCATGACCTCCTTTTGTCTCCGACATCTGTCAGAGGCTGAAGTCGCTTCCATCAGTTCCTCACCCTGAGTGGGGGCAGGGGGTAATGTGGCAGGGAGGAGAGATTGGTAACCTCCATCAACTATGAACGTCAGCCTCCTACCCTGCCCCCACCCTTTGCATGTAGTTCTGGCAGTGGATGATGGAGAGTGTAGATAAAAATGGCTCCACACTGGAGAAGGCTGAGGGAAAGCAGGGATGGCAGCAAACTAACTTATAACCCCCTTCTGCCCCATCCCCACCTCTTAGCCATTTTTTTCCCATGATAGCGAGAGGAGACATTTGTGTCCCACACCGTTCCCCACAACAGCCCAGGGCAGTTAAGAAACACCCTTCTAAAAGATACATACATAGCTTTAAAACCACCACGTGGCTAGCCGTGCTAGCTTCCTGTAGCAAAACCAAGCAAGTCATGTGGTACCTTAAAAACAAGCATGTTTTATTTCACAGCGTTTCATGGACCCCCACTCACTTCTTCAGATAGATCTGAAAGCTTATGCCAGATAAAAACCTGTTAATTTTGAAGGTGCTCCTAGGTTCTTTGGCCAGTATCCCATTGCCCAAATAGCCGTAGGTCTCCCAAACTCACCCCAAGCAGCAGGCTTCCTGTGGAACTAGGAATTGTGCCTAACAGCCCCTAAGCAGAACCTGATAATTTAATTCCCCCTTCATAAGTACAGAGAGAACAAAATTCAGGTGTGCATAGATGAGCTTGTCTGAAATTTCGTTATTCTGCTTCTAAGAAAAGAACCCAGGCATGCCAGATCCTGGGTTCAACACCCTAGTCACATCTCATCACTGACATTTGCTTGAGTATAGTTAAGTTCTGAAAACAGGAACTATAAAATATGGCACAGATTTGGACAGTAACCAGACCTGTTTCCCTTTACGCACTGGGTCTAATGGGAATAAGCCTCATTGATCTTAGTGAGACCAATTTGTTAGTTTCTGCCCAGCTAGAATACTTGATAACTCTGGAAGGATAAAAAAAAATCCATAATTAGAGAAACCTCCTTCTTACTTTTCTTCATAAGCCGCTGATCTTTGCATTATACCTAAACTGAAAAGAGATGAGCTAAGAACAGTGACTCACGCGACAACGCAACAGGCATCAGCCTGTGTGGCTGAGTTGTTCTGCTGTGTTTGGAATATTTCAATTAGTCAATCATATCTACAGGAGAATGATCAAATAAAAAAAGAGGCCACCTGCAAGGAACCAAAATCTGGAGCATGCATAAGGTAAAGGTAAAGGTTCCCCTTGACATTTTTAGTCCAGTCGTGTCCGACTCTAGGGCATGGTACTCATTCCTGTTTCCAAGCCGTAGAGCCAGCGTTTGTCCGAAGACAGTTTCCGTGGTCACGTGGCCAGCGTGACTAGACACAGAATGCCCTTACCTTCCCACCGTGGTGGTACCTATTTATCTATTCGCATTTTTACGTGCTTTCAAACGGCTAGGCTGGTGGGAGCTGGAACAAGCGACGGGAGCTCATTCCGTTGCGTGGATTCGATCTTATGACTGCTGGTCTTCTGACCTTGCAGCACAGAGGCTTCTGTGGTTTAGCCCACAGCGCCACCATGTCTCACAGAGCATGCATAGTCATACAGAAATGCAGTAGACCGTTTCCTCTATGGAATGTGTAGACCCTCAGTCTATATAGTTGTGGTCACAGAAGGTTTGAATGTATATAATTCAAGGCTTTGGGCACATAGCTTGAGAGCTGCTGGTCTTGGTGACAGAACTGATTCCTCCCTGCAGGTAGAAGTTTTAA